CCTTGGGCGACATAGTTTAGTGTGTGGTGTTTAGTGGTGCTCATGACAGGGGGGTTGGAACTAGACGATCTAAGGTCCTTTCCAACCCTAACTATTCTATGATTCTATAAGTTCTCCTTTTTGTGGGAAGATAGCAACATGTGGGGTCCTGTCTGAGTTCACAAGAACTGTTTATAGGAAAGAAGGCTGAAAGAAGTAGTTTGCCAATTACTCATGAAAACCAGAGTTATGTCTTGGTTGATGCCTTTCTCCTGATGTTAAAACAACTGAGATGGCTTTATCCAGCATGGAACTGTCCAGATTTTGTACATTCCCATATTAAATAGATATGATCAAGAGGAAAGGCTTAGAAAGAGCCTATCTCCATCCACCAACAGGCTGTGAACAGAAAGAAAGTGATTTAGAACTCTGTCTTCTGACAGTGCCTTTCCACCAAATAGAAATACATCTATTAAAATTGGGGAGAAATAGAAATCAGTGGATTTGCAAGCATTAAGAGATGTTTACAAGGGCATGAGAGAAAGAAGTAGAAAAATTTATTGCATTCATTACTGGCAGCTGATGAGGACACTCACCACACAGTCCCATGGTACTGTTATTAAACTTTCCAAAAGGGAGTTTTATGTAAAATGCAAGTCGACTGTAGGAGACATAAACTTCTAATTCAGGTATTTCTACTATGACGTAGAGGCCAGAACTGGTTATCCTGATACCATTCTTGGAAATGTCTGGAACAACTTTCTTATCATTAAACAAAATCTAAAAAGAAGAGAAGCAAAAGTTTCTATGGACAACCTTCTGTTGAGTAAGGTATGAGGTTTGTGCAACTGGAAAGTAGAGCAGCACAGATTCATACTTCAGGTGCACCAGAAGAAGTCTGTCAAAGGCATTCATTTTAGCAGTTCTCTATGATTCCTTTTTAATATGTTGTAATTTATTTTTTAAAATTCACGTCAGGAAGAAAGCCACAACTTTCAATTATGTGATATTTTCCCAAGTTTTTAGCATATAAATTTTTCTTGACACAAAGGAAAAAAGATAGAGAGAAAGCAATGTAATTACGTTTCCTACCCATTGCATTTTTACAAGTTTCATTCCTTGTTGTGACAGGACATTTAGCAGTACAATAACTGTAACTACAGCAAAATAACACTGAGAATGAATTTTTCACAATACCTTACCAAGTTTGTTTCTTTTCCATGTTCCATTGCTTGTGTCAGAACAACAACAGAGTCAGAGTGAAAAATGAGAAGGGACATTGAACAAATTGCTCCATCAATGGCACCACAGTAGTAGTTGTCTATGTGAATCCAGAAGTTGTGAGTGTCCGGATGAATTGACTTCACAAGGGCATAGGTGCAGTTTTCTTTAAAATGATAATATGTTCCGTCAAAAGTCACATAATGCTCATTTCCCCATCCACTGCAAATACCTGGAAGACAGAGTGACAGGCTTCAAGCTTGGTTTCTGACCTTCCTGTAAGTACAAGATGGTTTTAATTCTTTTACTTGCTTTCAGTGAGAGCTGAAATAACCAGCTTAGTAAAGAAAAATTAGCCTAGCAAGGACACTGTCATCTGCTCTCAAAAGCAAATGCATTAAATAGAACTCCTTTTCCATTATATAAATATAATATAGGTATTGACCACATAGACATCTTTCTTGAGACCAAACTGAACATAACATAAATTTCAGTATTTCTCCTGCTGCAGTACTTACACTGACACTCAAAGACTTCACAGCAACCAGTTCCATCATAGCGTTTTGTGAACGGGAAGCCATTGGTGCAGAGTTTCAGTTGCTGAGATGGGCAAGTCATGCTGGACAGCTTAATATTGTTTCCTTCTCCCAGGCAAGTCGCAATCTGGCAGTTTCCGAAGTTCCATGTTTCATTAAACTATTGATGGATTGAAAAAGAAGAGGAGAAGCACATAGCAAAGTAATGTAACAAAATCTTTAAAATCAACAGAGTTGGTTGTCTAGCATGGCATTATTTGCTATCTACTCTTCATCTGGAAACCAGGCAATATGAAACATAGCAATCAACAGAGCCTTGGTATCTACTTCTGTTCTACAACATTTTGTATAGTACTTGGTCCTGACCTCATTTCTGATGTTGGGACACTGCCAGATGTGCTTTCCTAGTCTTTGTTGATCTTAGGTAACTCTATCCACTTATGACCATTTAGATGTTTCAGGTGAACAGAATAATCTCCAATTTATTCCCTCAATTATTTGGGGGCTTCTGGTACACTTCTAAATCATGTAATTCAGCCACACCTGCAGACCAGCTGTAATGGTGTTACCAGCATCAGAGGAGAACACCAAATTCTGGCTGCAGGCAATGTGGTACCTAAAGAAACACATATTCTTTCATTCTCTCACCTTTCTGGGAGGAATGAGCCCAAGACAATCGTTCACAGGAGTCCCTGTGGTAGCAGGAGCTTGGCTTGATGCACTGGGAGCAGGTGTTAGTGGACAGGTTTCAGAGTTTGGATCACAGGTCTTGAGGGCCTCAGTATGACCAATTTTGCACTCTGCCCAAATTAATTCAATCTGACATGATGCATTGCAAACGGAGAAAGCACAGTGACCTGATACATTAACTGGCAAGGAAACATTTTCTCCTGCAAGGCCAAAACAAAAGTTAGTGCTGGACTGTGCATGAAACTGGTAACTCTCAAGGCCTGTTCATCACAGATCAGCCACATATTCAGCCCTGTATTTAGCTATCTGCCTGTACCCAATGGCCATGTTCAGATGTGACTGCAACTCCTTGAATTCAGCGGCTGAATCAGAGCTCAATTCATCCAAATGGCAAAGGCTGAGGGAGTGCCACAGACAGCTAATCTAAAATTCTGCTCTTAAGTACATTAGCGGGAATTGAAAATGAGTACAAGAAGAGAGAATATTGAGTATATCACTGAGTGCATCTGGTCTTCACAGACTAGGAAATAGGTGGTTCAGGAGCTACTAAGAGATGAAGAAGAGTCTTCCCTCCTCTGTTTTTGGAATATGACTGTGGATTACAAGCCCATGTTCTGCAGTTTAGGATTTGTGTAAGCTTCCTTATACCAGGGGTATCCAAACCAGGACAAAGTCATAAGATGTAGGAGAGTTGTTAGTTACAGCTCAAAGATGTAACTAGATGTGGTAATGCGTAACTGCAGCAGGCTGAATGAGCACTTGCTAAGCACTTTTATCTAACAGTACATCTTCCCACACCAGTGGTGCAGAAAAAAAATTTGGTTTCTCACCCATTTGTATCAATTGTCCATTGTCATTGCAGAAGCAGGGAGTGGCTACCATTGACGATGGAGGTGTAGATGTTACAGGTTGCATTTGTGGTTCTGCAGGAAATGAACACAATATTCAAATCCTTTGCTACTCTACTTTTAAAGTCCTATGGCATTTATTACATTCTCTACGAACACAAAAAAGAGAACAAAAAATCATTTTTACGTCGCCACCACATTCTCTACATGTACACACTGAGAACACCCCCTCTGTATTTCTATATTCTCTCTATATATTACACTGTGTGCTACTAGAATAACACACACACATTTCCCTTTGTAGGCTTTTTTTTTTATATATAGAATACAACAAACCACCCTTCTACTGTTGCTTATTGTTTCCTTCTCCCAGGCAAGTTGCAATCTGGCAGTTTCCAAAGTTTATTTTTAATAATTAAGGATTTCTTTGAACTTTCTAAATCTGCAGGATGTCACCTGACTTTGGAGAGGTGATTTCCAGTAGCACACCATTTTGCTTTTTAATGCCTTGTTGCAAAGAATCTTTTGATTTAAATACAGACAGATTATTTCGACATTCTACTATGCCACCTACACTCTGTTTTCAATAGTCCTGCCTTTCCTAGCTATTACTGCATTATACTTCTTATTTCAGTTGTTAACACATTTAGTAAATACCAAACACGTGGGTGTGTGTCTTTACCATTTCCACTTGAGTGGAGAAACTAACTTTTGATTTTCCGTGTTCCCATTGTATAATTTGCTACAAGGATCATGCATATTTTTTATGCTATAAATTTCGCTATGTGGCGAAATTCTGCCTTTTCTTTATTCCTTTTTACTTTCTATTTTCTGTTCGTTCAGAATGAACCTGCAGCTTCTCTTTTGAGAAGGGAGTAAACCACCAGGCAGCTTTATTTTCTTGCTCCGGAGGGTATTTGAGACTGACTTATTTCAACGCAGAAAGCAGTAGAATAAGAAACAGTGTGATAAAGGTGATGAGAAGGAGTAAAACAAGGTTTAGAAGTAAGAAATATTGAGACTAACACTACCAGAGCATCAACAGTGGTATGCCCAAGGTTATTGTAAAAGCTGTACTGAAAAATGGCTGAATCTCCCTATTCTCTCTATTCACCATTGACAGTAAGAATCTATAAAAATTACACTTTTGGTCTCCACTATGAGACCCAGAAGTTTTGACCCGTCATTCCTTAATCTTCAACTGCCTTAAATTCTTAGTTTATCCTAGACCTGCAGTAGGAGTGTTTTTCCAAGATGGAGGAATCTTATTACCATTACAGACTTCCATAAAATCACCACCAGATCTCTTACAAATCTAGTACCTTGTGCTGGTGTGGATGGAGTTCTGCAGGGGATGAATGTTCTAATGATCTCCCCATTAGGGCCACAGACAGCATCACCACACTTGGTCCCATTTGCTTGGCTGTATAGAGTTTCATTTAAGGCGTAGGTCTTTCCATTGTAGCAGCAAAGGCATTCTGAGGCACCAAAAAGAGCAAATGATGTGATAACAGGGGACACTCATAATATAAACACAAATGAAAAGAAAAAACAAACTCTGGATTTATTTTTCTGTAGCTAATATCATCAAATATGAATTACCTGGCTGAAAAAAATTATCAGTTTCTACTTGAGAAGTTGCACTGGGAGTCTACCTCATTTATTTAAAGTAGGTTGGATTTTTGTGGTTGCTGGTGTTTTTTGGAGTCAGCTTGCATAGAGGGACCACTGGCTAGTGAAAGCATCAGAACTGGCACTGTTCTTACCAAGCATGGAACTCAGGTGCATTCCCTCATGGCAGGGAATGTGACTGGGATTACTGCCCTGCTAAGTAATAAAATACTGGCTCAGAAGATGTTGTACAGCCATTTCCATCCACTAATGAGGAATATGTGGTGATAAAAAAATTAATTTAAATAAATAAGAAATTTAAATAAATAGAAATTCCATCCACTAATGAGGAATATGTGGTGATAAAAAATTTAATTTAACTAAATAAGAAATTGGAGAATATACATTCAGGAACCCAAGGGAATATATCTATTACTGTAACAAAATCAGTAATATTGAAGGTGTGTTGTCTTCTGGCTCACCCTGCATTTTGGGGTGTGATGTGGTTTCTCACAAATATGGTAATGAACTGATAACATACCTTAAGCAAGTGTGTCTGTTAGGCACACAAACATGTCTCTTATAAGATAGTCATCTAGGCTTATTATGAAATTAGTGGACAGAAAATAGCTACAAGGACTTCTACAAGATTTGACCTGTCTAAAAATGCTCATTAAAACAGTTACCATGAATGGCCTGCTTCAGACTACTTTTTGTCTGTCTTCACTGACTACCAAAGAAGTGTAAACATGGAGAAGTGGTTTCTACCTGGGTGAGATGAATCTCACATTTCACGCTTCTCTCCTTTCTCTCTATTATTATCCTTCAGACAGTTATTCAAATCAAAGGTTGCATTTTGCTTATCAAAGTATATCTGTACTGCTGTGCATCCACCTATTGAACCAGCTAGCTAGAGTCCTAATACCATGTTACACCTGCAGTAACATGTGGTGTTGGGTTGTTCCAATCCTATCATCACTCAGTGGATAGTGAGGGTGGTGAAAAGTTACCTTTGGAGTCTTCAGTACATAGTTTCTGTTCAGGATCACTGAAGATAAAGAGAAAAGAAGACTTGGTTTATTAACTTGAATCAATATGTGGAATAACAATGTCTGCAACAGTATCTGGTTTCACATAAAAGCCTACTCCTGGTGGATTTAATGATAATCGCCACTGCCTATGACCATAAACTAAACATTGCCTAGCTTGTCATTTCAAGAGCTGTTCTTTCTCTCTCACCAGCAACTGACCTACCATGAAGTGCAGTTGGGGAGCGAGACACACTCCCTGCTCTCCTCATCAAAATATGGCTTATCAGGACTGCACTCCGGGTAACAGCCTGAAAAGTTAAAGTAAACAAAGCATTCTTAGTCTGCTTTATGTAGATCCAGGGAAAACACATAAATACCCTTATCAGATGCCGACTTGATCCCAAAATGAATGTAATCCCAGTATAGATGTTCTTTATATGACAATGATTTTTCCACATCCTCTTTTTCCCTCTCTCCCAAAAGTTTTAACTTTGTTTGTCAATAGATAATTATACTTTGCAAAATTTTACTGAATGACCTTTTATCTCTCACCAGATTTAAAGGCAACAGGCAAATTATGCTATAAATGGCACCATCACACGGGGAATTAGACCAGGTCAATGAGTTTCTGGGGCAAATGGGATATTCTTTCAGCAACCTCAATACTTAAGACACTTAAAACCAGACTAATAGCTTCAACTTCCATGAACTTCATGAAAGCCAAATAAGAATTACCTTCAAAACTGTACAGCAAGTTCCCACATTTCCCTTGTGGGTTCCTGCAAGTCCTTAGACAAGGGGCTCCACAGGCTTTATAGAACCACTCATGTTTGTCAGGTGGATTATAATAATCACAAAACACAGCTGGAATAGAAGAATAAAAGCCCTGTAAGTCTCAGACACCAGACAGGTTATTTTCTAAATCTTGTAAACAAGAGTTTACATACACGTTAAGTCATGTATGCACAGTGATGTCAGAATTCTGCTCTTCTTAATCTCCCATATGTGTGAGTGCACAGAGCACTGCTTTTCTGTATGTATTTTCAGCGCAATACTTACGGCAAATGGCAGGAGTTCTCCAGTTGATACAGACACCAGCTCTGCTACAGCTTCTTGAATAAGCAGCAACTGAGGTACAAAAGCACTCACAGTCTCCCACACTGTCACAGCCACAGAAGTCAGAAATACAAGATTCATAATATGGTATTGGGTTCACCTATCAAGACACCAACAGATCTGTTACCACAGAATACCTGCTGCACTGTGTTTTAATGAGAGAATTTCTGCCATCCACTGGCAGTTTCTTTGGCAGAACCAGGCTGTCTGTGACAGCCTGAGGTCATCGTGAAGGAGACATGACATTTTATACAGGTAGTTTTCTATTCTATTCTTCCAACTCAGGTGGAATTGGACTCTAAATCTTCTAATTCTCATGTGTGTAATACTGGCATTTATGCTTAAAATATCTTTCCAGTGTAATTTCTGCAGGACTGACCTACCTTGCTTTGGCTCAGCACAACTACATAGTGTGTACACTCTCGAACTGAGAGATAGTGCTTAAGTGAATATTAAAGAAAATCCTATTTCCACTGATCTTCACTTCTCTTGTGTTTTAACCTGTGATAAAATGAACTAACTAAGGAAAGTAATACATGTTTGCTTTTAAAATGGATTATTAAACTGCACTGAAGCTTTGTACAGACATTGTCATTAAGAGTTAGTAGCCTTGTTTCTGTTTAGATTAATTCAATTTGTGTCTAAAATAAACCAAAATATTAATCTCTTTAGGTAATTTGAATAAACTTTCCCAAGGATCCCCATATAAACAGTCCTATGCTAACTAATCTCCAGATTTTACAAACTGATACCTAAGTTTTTACTTCTGGTGGCTGACTATTATTTTCTTTGTCTTCAGTTGCTCAAAGCAGGCACTGTTGTTTCCTCAGTATTGTGCAAAAGGATTCAACTGGCATAGCTGTAAAGTGAGGTTTTGAAAGAAGTAACCCTTATACTCAAGGTTGCAGACTATTATGCAATAATAGTCTTCAATAGTAAAAATTTCTGTGCAAATATGCTTTATAATAGCCACAAATAACTAGTGTGAACCTACTAAGGGTGAGAGAACAGGATTACCTTACTGTGACAGGCTTCAAAGATGTTACTCTTAATGATGCTGCAGTGCTTTTGTCCCAGAGCAGATTTGAAAGGCTGATCAGCACACAGGTCTGTCATGTTTGTATTTGAGCAGGTGCTTGTTATTTTCCAGCTATTTCCAAACTCCTGGATGCTCATCTCCATGGACTGCCCTCTGGTTGTGAAGTCATTCCTTGAGCGGCCATCAAAGTCCCCACAAAGGCCACAGACTTTTCCCTGAGTAATTTGTGTAGGCACAGTAAATAGTTTGGTTATTTTGTGCTCAGCCCACTGTTTGACAGAAATAAACAATAAAGCAGGCTAAGACAAAATAGCTGCAAATCTCTAAATAGCCATCACTTTGAGGCTTAGAAACAGCTGGACTTCAAGTGACAAAATCACTCTGTTAGCCCTCCAATACAGCAAAAAGTCTGTCTTCTAGCTCCAAATATTTTGGAGCTTTTCATACTGACTGAACAATGAAATAAAACAACACACAAGATATGGCCTGATTGATTCTTCTTGTCCACTGAACCAAACACTTTTCCAAGCCCTGCTTTTCAAACTGGGGCTTCAGTGCTTTCGGTTCTTAATTCTCTGAGTTTGAAAACATAACTCTCTCTCCATCCCATACCTACCTGGAAAGATGGTGCCACGTGAACAACAACAGTAGTCTTCTGGTCCCACATGAAGTTCATCCCTTGGTTTGTTTCAATCACAATATAACCCCCTCTGAGATCCACTTGGTAATTCTTCTCAGCTCCTGGATCAGTAGCTATCTCTTGAATTCTTCCTTCCAAGAGCCTTATTTCACTGCTCTACAAGGAACAGAGAAATTGCATGGAAGGAAATCCAATAGGAATCTTAGTGTAACAGCACTGGTATTCTGCTTCTTGTCATTCATCTTAATTTTCTTTAGTCTTTACATCTTGGTCTATTGCCAGACATGTGAGCCATAATCAAGACCCACTGAGTTCAGTCTTACCTCAATAAGTAAGTCTTACCTCACAGTCACAGAAATTGTCCTCATTCTAGATGAAATCTGTTCTGCTGGCACAACAGCTCCTGAGTGCACAGGCAATTGGGCATGCTAGGACACCCCTCGTCATGCTGCTTTGTTTCACTATCCTCTCACCCCCTACTATGGGAGAAATCTCTATTGTGTACTCTCTGGGGGAATGCTAAGCCTGAGCTGAAGGGAAGAAGAAACTTCTTCCTCTGTAGTTACATCTGCCATGTGCTCAAACCATGGTATAGAAACGTGCTTCTCTAAAATCTCTACCAGTTGACTCCCCTCATCTATACCCTCACCTGCAGAAGTGTCCAGCCCCGTTAACAGCAAATACCTAAACATTTCCCAGCTTTCCTGTCTCCACTTTTTGGCTGTTTGACTTCTCTAGGTATTCTCTAGCAGCAACTGGTCTGGAATAAAAGGAGATAACTACACTAACTACTACAAAACAAAGACTACAGCTCCTCACTTATAACCAGTTCTAGACAAACCTCAAAAATTAGTGTGATCTTTAGGGAGCAGATGGAGAGTGACTTCCCACAGGCATTGTTCTGAATTACAATTCGGAAGGTGCCAGCATCCTTGTTATTGGGGCAAAAATCCTTAGAAAAATAGATGACATCATATTAGACCTTTTCAGGCAACCAGACCACTCTTACACATTTTCAGGAACTCTAAATGAATGACACTCGAATCTGACTTCTTCTATTTTGTCACTTTTTTATTCACTAAAACTCTGGGCATTTTAGAAGAATCTGGTGGCAGCTGAACTGGTGACAGGTTCATACTCGACTAGGAATTTCAAGAAAAAAAAATAAGAAAAAATGGAGCTTTTCATAGCACAAATCCTGCAAAACCAAAAAGGTATTTTATTTTTTCCTTAAAATTAACAAAACCAATTTTAATTTGGGAATGACAAAATGTGTCACGGAGTACTGTTTCATTACGTGCAATTATTATACATGAAGCTCACACATTAACCTCTACGTGTTTCTGTCACAACAAAAGCACTGTTAGTCTTGAATGGCTGAGAGAAACACTTAGCTTTCCAGCACCACACCAATTCCTTTCCATTACAGGTGCTGAAATTACATCAGGAGAGGGCTGTCCAGCCCAGGAGTTAATCGTTTAGGATCCCACAGTGCCTTCTTGTGTCACTTCTGAGGGTTAATTGCTTTGCTCTAGGTACAAGAGGAGGGGAGTGGGCACTGCTCATCAGTGTTGACTAATTTGCATGGGATAGCCCTTTAATTAATCAGACTGAACCCTACGGTGTAAGCTTTGAAAAGCGTAATTATAGGAAAGTGAAAAAAATTGATACCTGAGCTAGGATATAGTCACAGTCTCCCAGGAAATCAAACTTCTCCCCATCAAAGCTCATGTAATGTCCATTTCCATACACAGTGCAGGTTCCTTTGCAGGCATTGTCTGTGCAGTTCCACTCCCTTTTATTGCAGGTGCTGGGAGGTGAAATGCAAAGAATCACCATCTTTGTTTTTTCCTTAACGCCCAAACAGGGGCAGAGTAATTCATAGGTTTGTCTTTTGCAGTACTTCAAAGAAAGCAGTCATCTCCCACTCTTCCAAGTTTACCATCTCGACTGTTCTGAGACCATGCCATGAGATGGTTTACTAATGAGAAAGTTCATGTTTAGTACCAAGACATGTATGAACTTTGTTTATTTTTATTTTATTTTTTCCTTCAGATATCATTAAGTCCCAGCAGCAGACAGTGGGGATTTATGAGGTAAATTCAAGGTGAAGAACTGAATATTTCAGCCATTTCTGAATATTAATCTGTGAGGTACCATGTGGTCGTTCTGTTCCTGACTACAGTGGTGTGAACCAATATTATCCCTGTCTTTCTTTGTGTGTTGTGTCTGGATGAGATGAAGTTAATTTTCCCCATAGCAGCCCCCACAGTGCTTTGCTTTGTACTGGTAGCTAGAAAGGTGCTGATAACACACCACTCTTTTGCCTACTGCTGAGCAGTGCACACACAGCATCAAGGCTGTCTGTCCAGCATTCCACCTCACCAGTAGGCTGTGGGGTGGGCAAGATCTCGGAGGGGACATAGCCAGGACAGCTGACCCAAACTGACCAAAGGGATATTCTGTACCATATGGCATCTGCTCAGCAATGAAAGCTAAGAGAAAAGAGGAGTGCGGGCATTTGTCGTTATTACATTTGTGTTCTAGAGCAATCACTATGTGTACTGAAGCCCTTCCCTGATAGGAAGTAGAGAATAAACCTGAGGCTTTTTGCTTCCATGCAGCCTTTGCTTTTGCTTTATTAAACCATCTTTATCTTGACCCATGAGTTTTTTCTATCTTATTTTCTTTCCCCCATCCTGCTGAGGAGTGGAGTGATAGAGCAGCGTGGTAGGCACCTGGCATCCAGCTGAGGTCCACCCATCAGACCTTGACAAACTTCACCTCCAGTTCATGGCGAACATAGACAAAAAATTTTAATTGCTATACCCTTGACACAGAGAATGTGATTTTTTCCTATGTATGTCCTGTTCTCATAAGAAAACAAAGCCCTAACTGCAATAAAAGTTCTTAATGGTCTCTGTGATATCAACAACTGCTTATCAGGGTTTGGCTTCACATGCTAAACTTAATTGCTTGTACGATGGTGATCAGACCAAAATGTTTCTGACACTTTCTGTACAGCTTTTTGGCAGGACTATACAATGTCATCCTCACTAAATAATGGGAAAGGATTCAATGCATTTTGCCCACCATGATCAGTAATAGCAGTGAAGTCTGTGGCAGAGTTATACCAGCAATTGGATCAACTAGAGCATTCATTTATCTTATTTGAGAACTACGCACCCAGGAGCACTGCAAGTCACTAGAAGATCATTGTAAGTCCTCCCTCCTCCAAATTCAATCCTTTTCTGGGGTTCAGCTGTGCCCAACAGATGCAGACTCAATTACCTCTTACAGATGACCAGTCACAGAGCAACTGGATGAGGCTGGTACCTCTAAAGCTTGTGTGGAAGCAGTTTGCAAAAAGGATGGAAATCATTTGACAGAATATTTTAGTACTTGTTCTCTCCAAGTGCAGGATCATGCAGTGTGTTGCAGAGGGGAAATGTTTCCCCTTTTATTTTTACTAGAAGCCTGATGACTCTAATGATGAAGAGAAAGCTTCAAAATGCACTGATAAATTTAACAACTTTGTTATAAAGCAAGGTTCCCTGGAGTAACATACCATGTGTTGCAGTCCACTTTGATGGTTTCTCCAGGTTTATAAAAGTGTCCTCCATGAACACACGGGCATTGATCTTTGGGAATACATCCTCCACTGCCATCTAATACCAGCCCATCAGGACACATGCAGCCAGAAGCACATTCTGTGACATACTGTGTATAGAAGACAAAACACAAGGCAACTGATTAATCCACAAAAACTACAGGGAACGAGCAGAAGTGCTAGCTCTGGATGCTAATCTTTTGTGTATTCTTTTTTAAGCCTGCAACTGTAAATTATTGACAATCAAATTACAAGTGTCACAGCTATGTGGATAGCTATAGCTATAGCTGCCATGTTATCATTAAAGTAGCTGGTCTGTGAACAGCATAGCATGTTACCAACAGCATTTGTTAAGGACAATCATACATGCACAATCATGTTGTCCCATGTTCCTGCTAGGAGGTGAAGTCCTTACACAATGCATGTCCTGTGTCTTACAACTTTTCTGACACTCTGATCCAGTTGCACCAGGACCTGCAGAGCTGCAGTTGAAGTAATACATAGGAGCAGGGCAATCTATAGAAGGAAGAAAACATTTTAGAAAGGTAATTTAGTGAAAACAGTAAGGATGCTGTCAGCAGTTGTAAAACAGCATTTCAGAGGGCAGCGTATGTCTAGCATTTACAGTTTCTATTAGCTTTTGCTCCTGCCCACCAGCAGTGTGGGGAAAAGGAAGCAGAGAACTAAGTTTTGAGAAATATCCTCATCTTTTAAAGAACCCAGCAAGTCTGGTGACATTTTTACAACGACAACTATTACCAATAACCAGCACATTTCAGGGAGAAGGCAAAACTGCGTAAAATACTAAAGTGTTACAGAAAGTGAGATAAACACAGAAAAACATTATAAATACTAGCTGATACCATAATGCCATTATTTAACAAAATCTCACCTTTTACCAGGACAGTCTCTCCAATGCAGTCTAATCTTCCTTGAATGCATTTGCTAGAGATTCCATAAAATGAAACACATCAGCTCTTTGCATATTTCTCTCTCACTAAAGAGAAAGGCACTGCAAAGCTTCACTAGTCACATAAATAACAAATTCCTATCAAAATGAGTATTTGGTACAGCTATCAGGTTCACAGACATAAATTACCATCCCCAGAAGGAAGATTTAGACACCCAACTCTTAAATACTCTTCCTTCATCTGCCACTGGTTTACTGTGTCTTTTCCTTAAATCAAAATTTTCATAAGCATCTATTTTCCACTCCATGGGATGAGACTAATACCTTCTTAAAGGAGACCTATTAAATTACAAAATGAACCTGTGTTTACAAAAAAGAATAGAATCCTCAGAAAAAAAAATACGGGAGTTGAGAGAGAGAAAATACGTAGGCGTCTAAAGATGCAAATAAATTGTTTAAATAAAACAGCCTTCCCCTGCTGTTTGCATTGCTGTCCTGAACTGCTTGAAAACGAGAAAAATAGCAATTGTTTTTCACTACAGATGCAAATTATCATGTTATTTTTAGTATTTCTCCCCCAATTTTCTCTTTCCCGCTCTCTCTTCTAAAAAATCTCAGTTTAAAAGCAGAATATTTTTTTCTAGATTTTTTTTTTCGCTAGTCTGCAGGATGGTGATTTGGAGGGTGGTTCTTACGTCACGTCTTCATTTCAAAGCCAGAAACTCCCCCAAGCCCTCTTACTTCTAGAAAACATTCTCCCACTGTATATGGAAATTTTTTACCCAACAATGAACTTTGTGTAGATACAGGTTGCAAACATTATTCTACTTAACATGTTTTCAGGTTCTTGTTGGTACCAGGAATATAGGTTCTTAACCTTTCCTGTGGCTGCACTTCCTGCCAGGGGAATATTTGCTTTGGTAGAATCTAGGAGAAATTTGTCATTATTCCTTACAATAAAGTGACACCATTCAGAGATTAGAGCCCTGACATCCCTCAGGTATGCAGCCTTTGCATCACCAGAGCACCTTACCACATCAGTTTGTCCTCTTGGAAGGAGTTGCCAGGCTGAACAATCTTGCCTTTGTAGTAGCAGGGACAGTCATCTGGAGTTACACACTCCTCCTCGTCATTGAGGTAGGTCCCTTCAGGGCAACCACAGCCCTCCATAGGAGCGATCTGAACTTCACACAGCGGATCAGGTCCATCCAGTGAGTGGCAAGACTGGTTACAGTATTTCACGCTATAGTTATAAACCATAGTCTCAGGACACTCCTCAGAGGGATCTTTGCAAGAGAAATAAAATGGATATATGGCCTTTTCTGTGCAGTCATCGCTCATGCTGTTGACGCAGCTTTCTGTACATTGGTAGCCACAAATGCACTTTTTCAAGCTACAAGTCCTTGTCAATCAGTGGTCTGAGGGAAGTCAGCCCACATGACATTCAATACTGAAATACTCACCAGGGTATATCTTGATCGAATAAGGGAATCAGTATAATTTTACAATTGGTACCATTTACATTTCTATTTTATGCCAAGAACTAAACCAAAAAACTTCTGAATTGTCGTTATAGTTAAAAACTAATTTTCTGTAATTTACTAATAATTTCTTTGGCTGAGAATAGCTTAAGAAATAAACATATTTTGTAAGGGGTATATTTTGACATTAAATGGACAGTGCCAAGGAACTCTGCTACCAAAGAAAGTGTGTTTGAATTTTCATAGATGTCTTGAGGAAAACTCTTGTTGTCCTTTGGGGAAATCGGAAAGAACAGTGTTTAAGACCTCTGGTGGACCAAACAGTTAAATAACAATATCTAAAGAGCTCAACTGATCCTGTAAGACAGTGAAAAGCTGATTAATTTTCACAGGCTACCAAGAAACAACATCTTCAAAACTCTACCATAAAATCTGCAGTAGCGATCTATAGGGATGACAGCAAATTTTGTCAGGAAATACCACCCCCATTAAGGTTGTGGTTTTCAAGAAAGCCTGGCATCCAGATTCCTCTGAAATTCAATAATAAATGAGGATCTAGTCATCTTGGACCTCTTTCTAGATCAAATCCATAGGTTTAACCCCACAACTGGTTACAGATGTACTAGAAGGTACAGGGGAGTTGCCCATGAGCAAACATGCTAATCAGCTTTGCAGCAATGTTATCACCATATCAGCAACAGATTCCATGCCTGAGCAAAGCTCTGTATGGTTTTCCAGACCATGACCATAGTACACTTTCTTACATTAGTTAGCATGTTAGGTTTGTGTACACATTCAAAACCACCACCTCCACGAATGAAAAATAATTGATTTCCTGGTCTTAGCTGAGGCAGACACAATAGCCTGTGCATAAACCATGCAAGCCATATTCTCCTACTTTATAGGCATTCTATAAAAATGCATCAACCAGTATCTGTAAATCAAAATAGGCCAAATAAGAAAGATATTAATAAAGATGTTGAACATGAGTTTACATCAGATTTACCTGAATGGGTGTCTCAATTGTTAGCTATTAATGCAATAAAATAATGTGTTTACTTTCTCCCTTTAACTTTCTCAGAGAGGAAAAAGATCGCTTTTAGTAAAGTGAGATCTGGTAAGAGAAAGGTTATTTGATCTTAGTACTCATGGTCACAGATTTGTAATCTTAGATTACATACACCACAACTGGAGGCATGAGTGCAGAGAACATGAGCATATCAAAACCAGCTTCAAGCTAGCTTGCACAAGGAGCACCAGAAAAGCAGTGTCATGACTTAGCAGAGGCTACTAACTGTGACTGTCTTCTGGGAAGCCAGTAACTCATGTAATGGTTCATGCTTCTGCTAAAGATTGTGTCACACACATGCACTGCCAACCGTTACCTAGTAGGGTTTGCTTATTTCATACACTCTACTGACTTCAGTGTAGACATCCCCTTAAGACATAACCTGCCTTGGGTGCTGTCCGCGGCCTGGCACAGCTGGACACAGCTGCAGGAGCCAGAAAGGCCTGCAATGGGAAAGATCACTGAGGGTGGCTGTTCTGGCCCATTTTTTCTTTCACTTATGAATAGCGCAACCTTCCATCTTACCATAAGCATGTTCCTGAAAGATTCTTTCTTCTTGTGAAGGCCTAAAATGATTGTGCTGATTAAGCCATTAGCATTCTTTCCCAAGGTTACTGCACTGTCAATATTATCTACTGTGCCATGAGTCCACAGATTTCAGTCTAACCCGTGCTGCAAACCAGTCTTGCTTTGGCATAAAAAAAAGTCAATAATTCTATATTGATAACAAAGCTTTCAGTAAACAGCGACTGTTTCTAGTACATAAATTTGCATGATTCTAAGATAATTTGCTGTGGATTACACTGTGTTCCCTTTGAATTCTTTCAGCACAGGTTTATTAAATTGTTCTTACTGTAATCTTCAATGGCTTCAACAAAGCAACATACATTGTTACCTTGTTTTTTCTATTAAATATCCCAGCTAGCCTCTAAGTCAGGCAATTAAATAGATGATAGCTGCATGAAAACTGCATAAAAATAATTGTTGTAGTGTTTCCTATTCAGATATGTTATTAGTCAAGAAACCCATACATCTATTTTCAGGTTAGTATAGGTAAATATCACTTGAACTAGCTGATTGCCAATGAAAAATAGAAATGTTGAAGTGAAATTCAGAAACTGGGACTTGTGAGTTTTATTCTCAGCTCTGATACCATCTCATAATGAATTCTGGCAGTGCCATAGAAAAAAAATAAAATATGTGGACTCTGATCCGTGTATTTAGTAACAATGTGTATGTATGTCCACAAAACTTTTATTGAGTTGTTAGATAATCCTGAGCTGAAAAAGCTTTTAAACACTTCCACAATCTCAGATCTCACCTATATGTATGTATTAAAAATCACTACTATTTTACATGGAAAAATGTAGTTAATGAGAGTGATGCCATTTGTATGGGCAATGTCTGAGATATTGAGGGCTGAGATGAAGCTCAAAAACTGTATAGGAATTAAAATACATGGGAAAGCCCTTGTGTTTAAAACTAACCTAATCACAACTTCTTGTTATTATATACACCTTATATTCTTTTGCTTCTCTGAGTACTGAATTCACCTAATATTTACACAAGGAACATGCATCATAAGAGCATTAAGTGGACATAAACTGATTTTGACAGGCAGTTTTTTACAGAATGTATGCTTATTCTGTTTTTCAAAGACCCACTAGCTTGATGACTAAGTACGAAAGATATTGACTGCTACAGACTGAAGCTGTTCCTCTACATCCCTACCGCAGGTATTTTAGGATGCATACCACAGATGCCCTGCCTCCAGCCCTTCAGGGATATGCCTGCTGCAGCACAGTCTCTGGAGTAGGTAGAGAGCACACTACACAGGGCAACTTCACTCTTCTCAGAATTACAGGTGTCATACAAACATTTCTAGGGGACAGAAAAGGACATGGGTATTATTAAGGCCAGCTCAAGGAAGACACAGGGAAACATAGAATCATATAGTAACTCAAAAAGTAACAAACTAATAAGTTTTTTAAAAAGTATTATTACCTATGAAATTTAATTTGTAATATCTCTAAAAGAAAATGCGTGCTAATGAAATACTATCCAAACCTGAGAAACAGGAAATCAATTGCAGTTGTTTAACGTTATGTCCAACACTCCAAATAGATGAATAGTAAGAATAATAAGGACACTTACAGTTAATTAAAGCACTAAGAAATGTCTATACCAACCTCCCATGAGGATATACAATGTAGGACATGTCAAAAATATGTCATCTGAAAATATACAGGACTGAAAATACTGCACAGCAACAGCTGGCACTTGAGTACCTATCTAGTATGTAGGTAAGACACGCCCACTTAAATGACAGGTACATAACAGAAGATGGTTTAATAGGGAATCATTTGTAATGGCATCAAAAGAAATAGTTAGGAAAGTACAAAGGGGATTTAAAGCTCAAGTTCTTTTAATTGGGTGGCTGGACAGAACAACCTTTATACAGCCAGTCACTCAAGACCAATAAGGTCATACTGCATAGACAGTGACATATCCTGCCATTACTGATCTCATGGAAAATGCTTCCACAAATCATGGCTTCAGCAGGATCCATAGGAAGCTAGTTATTACTTTTCCTTAATTGAAAATTGCAAATTCCCTACTTATAGTTAACAAGAAGACATATTTTCTGAGGGAAATCTGGGAGAGGTAAAGCATAAGCAAAATTTCATGTTCAGGTATTTTCTCAGTAAATTGTATCACACGCACCCCCTACATGTATTTTCTGCATTTTGCAGAAACATCTTCACTATTCACATAAATATGGCAACTCTCCAGCTCAGCCAACATCCTCAACAGCTGTACAACAAGAGTACTTATGAACAACTTCTTGCATTCTAAGTAGGAGACTAACATGATTCCATAGTAATAAATGAGATATAAATTGTGTAAACACAGGATATATTCTCCCCTTAGAGGTGAATTTTAAACACCACCAGAAGGAATCCATGGGGCTGAAAAAACTCTCAGTTCAGTTTCACGCAGAAACACTGATTTGGCCTTTCAATGAGTGAACGGTTTTCAAGAACAGTAAATCCATTTTTTCGTATTTTCCTTCTGGATCATACAAGAGAACTGTCACTGATGGCAGTCACTTAATATTTTCAAGGCTGCAGTCAAAAAGGCCCATCGTGTCTTGCATAAACTCTTATTTTGTAATTTTTCTCATCAGCATAAGTGAAATTCTTTGCAAACATGCATTAATGTAATCCATTTTACTCCCCTAGGCCAGACTGCCTTCATAGCAGATCACTAGATTAAACCACCCATTTGGACCAGTGCCTTACCTTGATGTATACTGAAGGCTCTACAACAGAATGGCAGGCAGCAAACACACTGCTTGTATTAGACAGAAGAGAACACCATTGTTGCGCAAATTTTTCTGAAGTGGGAAAAAACACCATTATCTATAGTCACTTAAACCACATTACTATTTGATTCAATGTTCTTATCAGGTTTCACACAGAACTAGAATGTCCTGAAATGTTCAGATAATGCTGTAAAGAAATATGGGGAATTAAAATATCAAGGCAACAAGCACAGTTGGATGGCAACCAGCCATCTCCCTAAAAGAAAGGTTTCACCTTCCAAGTATTAACATTATTACTGTGGCTGGGTTTGCAGAACATCTGCAAAACCTCCCCATTTTCATTGTTTTCCATCAAACTTTGCTAATTCTTTACATTCAGGCAATTCTTTATAGTCCAACAGTAACGCCAAGTATGTAATATTCAGTGAGCTGTGTGTCTATGAGCTGCAGTTTTAACTACATGTGGCAATACCTAGGACAGTACAATCTGAATCCTGTATGTAGCCAAACCCAGTCAAAGTGAGAAACCAGATGGGTACCTCGTAAAGTACAATGCTTGCTGCAGTCAATACTGCTGATAACTTACTCCCTTTGACTTCGGCACAGCTGTAACAACCTAGATTGGAGTAAGATCTTGCTCTAATATTGACAACCAAGTGTGCTCTGCCTTAAACCTATATTGTTCTTGTTGATGCTGTGTGTGCTTTTCGAGTCATCAGTGTTGGCCCTTTCTCCAGCAGTGCAGTCATTTTGTTTTAAAAGCAAAGCTGTCACTTTAAAGACCAATGTGTTCTCCAGACTCAAAGGCCGTGGCTTTTGATGTTTATGAGATTTCTAAAGCTTTTTTGGTTATCTGCCATGTGAAAATTATTTAGCACTGATAATCCAGGGTTGAAAAGCCTGCTACCTTTATCCACGCTGTTTGAACAAGGATCTTCAAAGCTGTCCTCAACATCAAAACAGCTGGCTCTAGTTTTCCATGAGTTACCAAAAGCAGAAGCTGAATCTTCCACAGCTCCAGTGACTGTTCTGAAGTCGTCAGTCTGGATGTTATTAAAATTGCCACAAAGACCTTGTGTGGGTGGTGTCAGGAAAAGAAATAAAAAGGCAAAAGAAAAAAAGAAATCACTAGTGGAAAAAGGAATGGCTTCTATATGAACACTCCTAGCCCTTCTCCTGAAAGAAACCCACTTTCCTTCACAGGCTCCCTGATGGTCCCACAAACCAGACAGGACCCTGTCTTTAGAATGTAATTATTTTTCTGCATTACATTTACACTTAGTGATAGCACAAAGATTGGAAGCTGTTTAAATGTGCTTCAGTAAACACTGGCTGACAAAGTGCCTTCATCAATGGCTTACAAGATAAGGAAATCACAAAAGCAAAACCAAACAGGTAGGAGAGACAGGATGCAATCCCATTGCACAGATAGGAAACAGAAGCACAAAAAAGCTTAAATGATGTAAACAGGAAACTGGTGACAAGACCAAGAACACAGTCTGCATCTCAAGTTTCTGAGAAAGGTCTGCTTTTACAAATAGGGTCTAAAAGACCTGCACACACTAAACATCACAGAGTTTTCTAATTTTCTTCAGTAAATTGAAGTGGTTAGCCAACGCTTTGTTTCAGGAATGCTACAGGTTTAACTGGGGGTTCTAACATATCAAAATCAATATAAAATCAAATAATTTGTTCACCTCAAGTGATAGACAAGCAGCTATAACTCAGTTTAAGAGCTAACTGGAAGAGCATGATCTGTCCTACCTGATGTGCGATTCTGATAAGAATGGTCGACTGTTATGGAGAGCTGCATTACAGGTTTTATTTGCACTTGAATTTGTACTCCAGTTGAGCTCAAGATTTTGATGAAAAATGTAGATGGTCTGAAGATGGTGATGTCATCTAAAAAGAAATAAAAATAAAGTATGTGCGCACTTGCAAGTCTTTATGGAGCTGAGTAAACAGGAACTGCCATTTACTACTGCATCCAGTGTAACATAGGAATTCCCAAGGAGTTCAGACCTAGTAGGCACACAGGTTAAATGACCTAACAATGAGCAGGATCATATTCTTTTCAGAGAGAGGAGGAATCCCTCTGTAAATAAATGTAGACTACTCTGGGGAAGATGCGAGAAGGATGTTTACCTTTGCTTACTGGCAGCTTCACAATGAAATTGTTCATGTAGATGTTTCCACAGGAACATATTTTTATTGTCTGCAGGGAAAAAGAAAAAAGAAAAAGCCCACAGTGGTGAATGAATATGACATCAGACAGACAACAGCAACCTGACAAACTTCATTAAACATTAAGAAGTAGTGTCTTCAAAACATTATCATCTCTGGGGTCAATGTAGCACATATTTTGGATGACGTACAATAATACAGAGCAAATCTGGCCATAACAAAAGAAGAAAAACCCTCTCCATAAGCAACAGTTTTGACTGAGTTCTCTCACATATCATGTTACGTGTAGGTTTGGATCTATCTTACTGAAAATGCAATGTAACCAAAATGAGAGCTATCTGACTCAAACTCCCTTAGTAGTCAATGGAGGAAAACAGGCGCCTCCAGAACATCTCATACCTTAGGTGGGCTGACTTGTCCTTTGGAGATCCCCATCTTTCTTTATTGACTATAGAAGGAGGTTAGGGTGTTGGATCTCCTAACATGGTTGGGACTGTACCAGTTAAATACCAGGTGGATGGGATGAATCTGTATAACTTTGGAGTGCATAAATACCATCCCTAACTTGGCTTTCACTGAATTCAGTGTGAATCACAGCATTATCTTCAGTAGGAGAAGCCTTTGGCCTTCATTTGGAAAATTCTGCTACTTCACTTATGCATTAGGAAAAACCTCTGGACTCAGAAAAGAAGGGAATCTTTTCTTGTAGAAATCTCAATCTTTCTTTCAAAAAGAAACAAGTGAAAAGCTTTGAAGTCATGAAAAGAGAGGGAAAACTAACAAGGATTTTTACCCATTTACCTATAAAGAAATAGAAAAAACAGAGTAAAAAAGAACTGGAAAGGAAATAACTTGCATAGAACAAAACCAATAAACACATGCACTGCATTACCTGCTGGTATTAATCTTGCAGTTTCAGGATTGCAACAGACCAAAATGAGTCCACAGAGTTAGAGAAATCCCATCTTTGAATCTAAATAGAAGTGACGTATTATGTGCTATTAACTAAAGCAAGTTACTTACACTTCTTCCTAGAGTGACTAATACATTCTTTAAGCAAGTCACTGTCTTTGATGTCCCACACTGGATGATCTCTCCAATCACCACAAATGTGTCATCAGTATTCTGAAAAGAGGTGAGAAAAGGGATGTGCAGGCATTGTTAGCATTTTACAGGAAAGGAGCCAGAAGAGAAAAAAAGTGTCTCTGGAAGGCTAAAATGCAGTAATGAAAGAACTGGGGCACTTAATCGCTAACTGCAAACTGCTTTATTTCATTGCCAAATTCAGTAATATTCACTGCCTTTCCTTTGCACCGTCGCCTTGCTATCAGCCTGTGTGGATCACATATTTGCAGACAGTTATGTGGAATTCAATCGTTTTGCAGGAATTTTTGCTCATCCACTTCCTTTCACTTGCAATCCATTGCAAATGGGAAAATTTATGCGGTTTAAGATTGAGCATGTGTTGAAAAGCTTTCTGGATTTGTGCCATTTAATTAAATTAAGTCATATAAAGCTTCAGCATAACTTAATGCCTTATGCTACTCATGAGATTTAGGAGTGAAATGGGACTTTGTTCATACCTTAGTTAAGACATAATGGCAGTTGCCATGAAAATCGAATCTCTTATTATCGAACGTTGTTATGTGGAATCCTCCATCTATATTGCAACTTCCAGAACAAGGCAGAGAGATACAGCTCCAATGGCCTCCTTTGCAAGTACTGTACAAAACCCAAAAAGCCGTAGTTAGAATAAACATAACTTTAAAGAAGCGAAGAATCTGTATCTGAATCCTCACAGATGACAACCTCTTTGTCTTTCTAGCTTGTTATTTGGCTGTTTATTAAATCCATGTGGGAGGAAGACTTTATATTTGGCCCTTAAAGTGTGAAGGATGAATGCCTCTTAATGCACTGGGCTTCAAACTAGCTCCTTCAGAGAAACACTAAGTTGAGCAAGCAAGAAATGTTTATTAGGGACTAAATTGTTTACTTGGCTTTTTAAATATAGAATTAACCTCTTCAAGCAGGATCCTGCAACATCTACTGATGCAACTGTTCAGCAAGTTGCTGATGCAACATTTCAGCAACTAATTGTGGAGGACCTGAGATAATGAGCAGTTACAATTCTTAGAGCTGTGCACAAAGAGGAGACCAGCCAGGGCATATTAGCTCAGGCTTGTGAGGAATAAGTGAGGATGTGGCTAGATGGGAACCACTGAGAGCCCAACAAATTCAGTTCATCAAAATTGCAGCTTTTGAGGATTATTTCCTCAAATGTATGAAACATCCAACACAAACAGGCTTGCAGAACATCTGACTTACCCTACCGTGCACCACAGAATATTTCATTCCTCACTACAGTAAAAGTTAGGCCTATGGTCAAGAAACGTGGTGTCACAGGAGCTCAAGTAACACAAATGACTGTTCATTTACTAGGTGGGTACCTATTAAGAAATAAAACTGTTTCGAGAATAATATACCTGAGGTCTGATCACCTTTCACTAGTGTAAAGTGGATACGGGTTCAAGCTACAGATTTTTTTCTAAATCAAGTAATTCTTAAGGATCAGGACTTTTCAGATTGGATATTAGGGAAAAATTTCTTCACAGACAGGGTAATCAGGTACTGGAACAGGAAGGTGGTGGAATCGCCATCCCTGGAAGTGTTTGGAAACTGTGTAGGTGAGTCTCTCAGTGGTATGGTTTAGTGATGGTCTTGACAGTCCTGGAGAAATGGATGGACGTGATGATCTTAAAGGCCTTTTCCTATCTAATCGATTCTAGGATTCTATGATTGAGATCCAGGCCTTGAAACATCCTTTTGTAGACCTAGAGGAGGTTGGAAATGCAGCTCATTAACATGATATGATACCTTGCCACATTTTAGTGGCCAATGCCTCTGAACTAACCGGAGAAGAGTCTCAGTTTTCCACATTCTGAAATCTTGAGCTCAGTTTTTACTTGCAGTTACAAGTGAGGGTGGTAACTATGTGTGGTTGAGGTCTACCTGTAAGTTTTCCTGTAGTGCTGAAATTTAGACTCAGATTTTGCATTACTATTTAAGACAAATGATGGGGGGGATGAAGGGAAAGGAGAAAAGAACATAATGCAACCTATCAAGTCTCTGAAATAAATGCCTCTGCTTTATTAGTGCAAAAAAATTCACAACAGTACCAGTTTTGGCAGGGAGTGGAGTAGGTCCCTCCTGATGAGTAGACTTTGCTTTGAAACATACAGGGGCAGCTGTCTCTGGGGATGCATTTTTTGCCACCAAAGTCATCAAGGATAGTTCCTGTTCAGACACATTGGCTAGTTAATATTCCTTTGGTGAGTCTGGGAAACACCACCAAGGATGATTAGAGCAAGGAAAAAACTCTGGAGTATTCAGCATTTCTGTAAATGAATGGGATATGTTTTAAGAAAAACCAGGCCCTTTCAGGTGTTAATGAGTGGGAAACATTTTTTAATTAAATGAAAGCAAGGCAAATCCCAAAGAATATCTCTGCATGTTACTAGAATTTGTCACTGTGAACAGGATTATCAAATGCCAGATTGCAAGGATGTGAGCCAGTTTCCATCCTTTTTAATAGTGAATATAACAGAAATCAGACCCTCATCTTAGCCTCTACTTCATGTGCAAACTTACACATGCACACAGCTAGCTATGCAGTTATATCACATGTGACTTAAGCTACAGCAATATCTAGCCTTTTAACAGGGAGGCACCTCACTTGACTTCACCTGCATTCTTATGTCTAGAGACTACCTCTCCTTTTCCCACATCTGTACCAGTTTTTTATGCCTAGTCCTTAGAAATCTTTCTCTCCTCCAGTGTCAGGATCTAAAATCTTTAGAGACCTGGTTCTTTCAAGACGAAAGTTGTTAAAAATGCTAGAGGAAACAGTTTATTCATCGTTTTCAGTGTAAAATGTTAATGAAAAAGAAAATGCCACTAACTGAAAGGGAACGATCTCCCTCTTTTTTTCCTTGATAATGTGTGACCCATTGGAAGAGGTAAACTGCCTTACCAGGAGGGCAGAAACAGCCATCTGTACATGGGGCTTTACAAATCTTGCTCCTTTCTGGGTCGGCGCATGTGTCAGCACAGGAGTTTCCACATTCCATGTACTCCATGTTGTTTGGGCA